TTACACTGTCCTCAGGGGACAGAGGGATGAACACTTCCTCCTCACATTCACGAGGGAGATCAACAATTGAGTCTTATTTACTCATGTGTCACTATAAAGCAATGGAATTGCTGAGGACAGAAGGGATTTTAATGAGGTAACAATTATTAGCTCAAGAATATATACCGTCAGCAATATGTCTCCAAGAGACGTATCTTAAAAGTTGATACATTTCAACTGAGGCAGTACAAACATCCCCATTTATTTTCCCCTCCGGAAAGCAACTGGTTTCGCTGCTATTTTAGTTCGACAGGACGTCATTCTGGGATACGTAGTAAATAGCAACTCATCCCAAGGCGCTCAGACATAGTTCTAAACATCGTTGGGATAGTCCTCGCAATTTGCTAACACCGCAATAAGTTATACATTTGGGGAGTTCTTATCATCATGTTATTTCGATTTTGAAAGAAAACAAATGTTGCCATTGTGGGATAATAGTTTTAGGTTGTTTACATTTCTATAACTAAACGAAATACAACATTTTAAAAGGAAACGAAAACAAAAACAAATCACAGAAATACAACTCAGTTGGGAGCACATGGTGTTTAGAATAGTCAAGATCATTCGTGTGCAAGATGGCGACTGAGTCGAATGATGAGCTGGTTGCAGCTAGACAGAATATTGAGCATTTAAGTCAAGTTTTGGGACCGCAGACTACCATGGATATTTTGTCTAATCATTCCGATATTAGTGACGATGAAGACGTCGTTGAAAATACCCTTTACAAGCTCCTGTCAACTGACTGGATATTGAAGAGCGCGCACAGGACGCCGTACCCAAGAACACACGTCGGAGGAACAAATGGGCAGGGAATACCTTCAGCGACTGGGCTATGTGGAGGAATAACAACCGCCTTAATGAAGAGAACATTCTTACCATGCTTGATCTCATGGATGACGCACAACTATGATTAGGTTCGTGAGGGAGACAACGGCGATCAAACTCTACGAGAAAGGGATCCCCGAACAACTCATAATGGAACGAACTGGGCACAGGAGTGTTAAAGGTACGTTGTTTCTTGTTTGATTAACAAATATACACAGTTCATGCTAAATCCTTTTGATTTGACAACATGAAACTACATGTATTTGAAATATTACTATTTAAGATTTGGGGTTTTTTATCGGGAGGCGGAAAGAAATAATATTGCCTCCATACCTAAGTATAAGTATCAATGAACTTGTTTGAACTTTAAAAATTGGCGTATGTGGACTGAGTTAATATGTTCATATAGTATCGTTTAGTCATGTTCATGTTTGTCACAAATTGCATAGAAAAACCCATTGTAATTAATCATTATCAAAATTAATGGTCATATCTTGAATAACACATATACTACAAATTAACATCCAACTCTTTATTTTGCAAGTTTTAACTACAAACGGACATCAGAAGGCCAGAAGATAGAGGTCAGCGACGTGATTAACATTTCTCCGGCCCGGGCAACAGCAACTACTGACTGTAGTACAGATGTGAGTGAGAAGACGAGGATACGTTTGTCAGGCTATTTAGACTGATTTCTTGTAACGTTATCCGTTAAAGCCATATTACAGAAGCAACCGGTGATGACGTCACAAGAGGTTGAAATGAAAAATAAACAGCTATCTATTGTTAAGACTATTGTAACTAGTCTCTGAAATGAACATATTTTACTGAAAAAAAGTTCATAGTAAAAATATATAATGAAAAGGAGCCCTGAGACTTTCTTCATTTTCAGAAGCTGAGGAAATCTAGACTTGCCACATTTTCTGCCTAACATTCATCTAATTTTCCAACACAATACGTTTATCTCCATTCTACCATAACCGATTTAAAATCGAACTCCTTCCTTCCGCGGAAGACACAGCGAAATCCGCGAGAGGCGAATTGAACTCGTCTGTGAAGGGAGGGGAAGGTGCCGTTCGTATTTTTTTAAACATTGCAACGTATATAATATTCTGGCCAAAGAAAACTAACTACAGTTTATTCAATGCAATAATGTAATACCTAAAAGCTTGGTTTATACAGAGACCATATAATATTATATGGTCTCTGGTTTATATAATCCCAACTCCACACGACCGAAACCAGCCTATTGCGTGCCGTCTTACTCTAACCCCCTGGCCACACTATAATCGTCTGACCTACTTATTTTTCTCGGAAGTGCAGTCTGTAGTTGTTGACAGTTACGCAACAGTTTGAAATGGCGGCCAGCCAGTGTTTACATTTTGAGTGAAAGTGGAAAATACTTGACTGACTGTGTGTTTCGCCTGACCGTTATCTTGCGAATTTCCCATTCTTATGATTCTAAACGGAAACAAATATACCATTTACCAGGTAGGTAAGTGTTTAGTAAGGATTTGCTGCACATTTTGTATAGACAGGGATGAAATTTACAAGCCTTTCTGATTTACATGTTAGATATTGTTTGTTTATGTTTGGGGCTGTGTATTGTAATTGAGTTTGAATATTGTTATTATAGAAGGTTATATGATAGTGAGGTTCCATAATAATTGTGGAGGAAAAATCATATAATAATTGTATTTTTCGAGTTTTAATAAATGTTTTATCAGCATTTCCATCACGTCTGTTGACTGTTGTGTTGATATTAGCCATGTTGGTGGTCAAGCTGATGCGGCAGTGTTGTATACGTGCGCAGTGAAGCGGTCATGAAATCAGACGAATTTTCAATCCAAAATTGATAGCGTCTAATTTTATTGATTGACCAATCAAAATCGAGCATTTCACGTAGCCATGGTAGAATAAAGGTTATGTATTCTTCGAATATTTACCTTTCAGTAACATGTCGGTAAAAATCGCTATCGAGATTAATAAAGATATTACACTGAAAATACTTGTTGCTTATTTTTTTATGAGGAGTATATTTGGGCCGTCAGTCCCGATTTAAAGAGGTCATATTGAGACGATGCCGATTTGGCCACAGCAGATATACGCATCAATAAAAGATGAGGGTGTCCCTTGTGATGAAAGAATCTCTGTCAACAATGTCCTGCTTGAATGTGTTGATTTTTCCATTACAGGGGATATATATTTGGATGTCCAAAAAAACGCCAACACCTTTTTGGCAAAGTTCATTCTCATTAATTTCTTGGTTTTGTAAAAATATGATTTAATTGATTAATTTCGATGTGTATTGTAATTAATAAATGATTTATGTCTTGTTAGAATGAATAAATTACCTTACTTAGCTAGTGTACCTTGAAAGTGGGATGACGCAGCATAAAATATTGCCCCTCTCAGAGTGGACGTAAGTCTCATTTCATTCAAAGTATTTTTATCGTAAAAATTATGTTATTTTAATGTATGGTAAATTTGAGCACAAAACGCCAACACCCGAAGGAATGATGTAAATCCAGCCAGGGCAATGACTGTGGCAATAGTACTGTAAGTCCCCATGGTCCCTAGTATGGTGATCTACCTTCAGTTGCTGGTGATGTACAGCCGTTTATATAGGGTGGTGTCCTGAGAAGTGGTATAATTTTAATTTTTCAGGGTAGTTTTAAATGTCTGTGATAGTCGAGTTGTTTTACTGCTGTTTGTCTACAGATTGTACAGTTCAACTGTCCTTATAATCATGTGCGAGTTGTTTTAGTCACAATATGGCTGAGATATTGCCGATGTGTCCATTAACTCACTAACACGTTTGCCCTGAATATTTTTTAAGCTGGCCTTATGCTGTCATAAATCATCTTTGTCTGTTTATGAACTCAATGGCGGCCTTGTGCGTTTCTTCACTACCCCTAGGGAAGACTTGTCATGTCATTCATACAAACAGTCTCGTAACGACTAGTTGCGATAAGCTTAGCATATCTTTTATATGTATTGTTCGACGTTGAGCAATGAATATCCGGTTATTTCAGTTCGCCGTGCGTGCGTGTGTGCGCGCGTGCGTTCGTCTCTCTCCATGATACACGATACGCTATACAGCTTCAACACTCTCACTCTCTTGTTTGTGTTTGACTGTGCGTGCGTGCGTGCGTGCGTGCTTGTGTCGTGTGCCTCGCTGCTTGTACTATAGACTAACGCTTAGTCTCTGATTATATATAATTGTGATTGTAACAAATAAACCCATTTAAACCGAAAAGGAGACCCAGGGAGACCAGGGAAGGCACGGCTGTAGGGAATATATGATGGTTCAGGGACTGTGAGACAGACTACTTGTACTAGTCCGGTCTAATGCCTGCTTTACATTGCTAACCCAATGATACCACTACAACCTCTGAGCTGACCAGACATGCCCCCGAAAGTAATACGATATTGCTGACCAAACGAAGGGGTGAGGATGTGTACAAAACGTGCGTATTGGTAATATTGGCATAGTTGGGGAAGCGTGACAACTCCTCATAAGTATTTTGGGTATATATTCGTAAATGTATTACACATGCAACTCTGTGCACTTTATGTCTCCATTCGTCTTAAATTGTACTTCGTGATCACAATAGTCATCTTCTCCAAAACCTGATGTCGGAGAGCGGAAGGTCGCTGGTTCGATCCCCGACCGCGTCATACCAAAAGACGTTAAAATATGGTACTTGTTGGTCTCTGTCTGGCGCTCGGCATTAATGGGTACAACAAGGACTGGTCGGCTCGGAGTCAGTATAATGTGTCTGAGTGGGGTATTCATGCTTCACTGCGGCATGCTGTCTCAGTGGGCTAGCACTATAAAACCAGGTTCAGTCTGGGCTAGTACAAGCAGCCGCACATACACACGCATGCACGTCGTCATATGAGCGAAATATTCTCAAGTACGACGTTAAACCCAATTTCACCTCACCTCACCTCCAAAACCTGATGTCCGCGCTCACATAAAACATTCCCTCGCTTAGCAGGTATGTTATCTGCAGTACTAGCCTTCCCCATGTTCCACGAAACTTACAAACAAAGAGGTCATGGGGCAGAGGTCAGAGCGTGCGACATGGAATGCTCAAATCTGTGGAATGTCATCCATCTAACCTTCTTACCTCGACTTTCTGTAGTACTGTGGAGAAGTCTGGCGACAGGGAGTCTCCTTGACGTACGGAGGCCATGACAGCTTCAGCTGACGGTACTGAGTCGAGTAGTGACAGTGAGCGGAGTCGCACTCTGTAGCTCACAGCGCGCTGACAGACATAGCCCAGCCGCTTCCGGGAGTGGGGGAAGGGAGGACTGGGGCCCTGCAATGCAGACCAGCCTCATTCATTCACTTCTCACCTGATAAGTACGTCGGCAGCAACGGCTGCATGGAGCCGGGTTATCTGGAAGCGGTGAAGTTTGGCCATCAATTCCTAGCGGGACAACTACTTTAATCCTCCTAATATCCAGCTGGTGTTTCTCTGGCGAGGGTTACATGAACAGGAGGCCATATATGAATGTTCTTAGGTCGTATTTAACAGAGACTGACCCTTGCTAATTAATAGTTTGAAATACCAACCCATGGGTTATCCTGGACCCTGGAATGCGTAGCTTTACTAAGCATTCAGTTTAAATATTGTGACACAAATTCAAGTAATGACAATTCTAACCAACGACACAAACCTAAGTAATGACAAAATCTAACCAACGACATAAATCTAATGACCACATCTAACCAATGCCACAAACCTACCTAATGACACAAATCCATGTCAAGTAACAAAACACGGCGATTGCATGGTGTATGGAACGTTATGACAATATTTACACAGAATACACGCAAACAGTTCCCTTAATGCGGACTCGAAACAGTAGCAGCCGTGTAGGGCCCGAACATACACCTTCAAATAGTTCATATGAATAAACTCGTATTCCAGCCAAGGCCTACACAGAGTTTATACGGCGAGTGCATTTTCTTTGACGCACCTTTCCGCAAGAAATTTGAGCGGAACAGTTTTTAGGCAAAAACAAGAATGAAGACTCAACCTATCGACTAATGCATGTGCATGCATTACTAAAACAAACAATCGTCTTCAAAACGAGACACTTACCTCCACTAAAATCGACTCACTTTATTACTAAATGACCTGAAACATAAAGACCCCCACCAACATTCCAACATTTGTCGACCATTTTGGTTATGGTAACTAGCAGTTGTAACAAAAAAAGGAATCGTATTAAACGGACCGTGATTACATGACGCTCTGAAGTCGGAGGAAGGGGGACGAACTTTTAGCAGTTTCTATTTGTTCCTAAATACGTTTTAATGCGTTTCCACTTTTTATTCAACCGCTAATTACCATAACAGTATGGCGTTGCGTCCAGTGACTGACGCTAAATGTTTTATATTTAACACGTCTGTATTTGCACGCGAAAACGATTCGTTGTAATGTTCCATATAAACGAATCTAGATTGTTCCTCAAAGACATTTGTGTGCATGCATGCCTATATTTCAGGGCTGAGTGAGTATGGTTTTGTGCCGCTCTGAACAATATTCTACCGCCCCTTCAATGGAGTGAATGAGCACTGGATTTTTTCATATTGCTATAGATAATCTATACTGACCATTACTTCTTTTGTGTAGAATATTATATTTATACTTATATACATTCAGTTAAAGACGTGCGCAGGGTGGGCAAGCTCTCACCACCGTAATTGATGCTATTCACTTGACAGATAAAAAGGCTACATACTTGAAGATATTTACTTGACGGATAAAGAGGCTTAAACATGATCCTATTCACTTGGCAAGGACAGGGGTTAATGCTTGACGCTACTAATTTGAGAGGTAAAGGGGCTACATACATAACCCTGTTTTAAATTAAGGGGAAAGAAGGTACAAACATAACATTATTCATTTGACAGGCAAAGAAGCTGCATAAGGGACGCCATTTTACCTGACAGGCAAAGAGGCTACAAACATGACGCCATTCACTTGACAGGCAAACGGGCTACAAACATGACGCTATTCACTTGACAGGCAAACAGGGCTACAAACATGTCGCTATTCACTTGGCATGCACGCTATTCACCTGACAGGCAAACAGGCTATAAACATGACGCTATTCACCTGATAGGCAAAGAGGCTACAAACATGACGCTATTCACTTGCCAGGCAAAGAGGCTACAAACATGACGCTATTCACTTGGCATGCACGCTATTCACCAGACAGGCAAACAGTCTACAAACATGACGCTATTCACTTGACAGGCAAAGAGGCTACAAACATGACGCTATTCGCTTGACAGGCAAACAGGCTACAAACATGAAGCTATTCACTTGACAGGCAAAGAGGCTACAAACATGACGCTATTCACTTGGCATGCACGCTATTCACCTGACAGGCAAACAGTCTACAAACATGACGCTATCCAACTGACAGGCAGACAGGCTACAAACATGAAGCTATTCACTTGACAGGCAAACAGGCTACAAACATGACGCTATTCACCTGACAGGCAAAGAGGCTATAAACATGACGCTATCCAACTGACAGGCAAACAGGCTATAGACATGAAGCTATTCACTTGACAGGCAAAGAGGCTACAAACATGACGCTATCCAGCTGACAGGCAAAGAGGCTACAAACATGACGCTATTCAGCTGACAGACAAACAGGCTACAAACATGACGCTATCCAACTGACAGGCAAACAGGATACAAACATGAAGCTATTCACTTGACGGGCAAAGAGGCTACAAACATGACGCTATCCACCTGACAGGCAATCAGGCTATAAGCATGACGCTATCCAGCTGACAGGCAAACAGGCTACAAACATGACGCTATTCAGCTGACAAGCAAACAGGCTATAAACATGACGCTATCCAGCTGACAGGCAAAGAGGCTACAAACATGACGCCATTCACTTGACAGGCAAACAGGCTACTAACATGAAGCTATTCACTTGACAGGCAAAGAGGCTACAAACATGACGCTATTCATGACAGGCAAACAGGCTACTAACATGAAGCTATTCACTTGACAGGCAAAGAGGGCAAACATGAAGCTATTCTTGACAGGCAAACAGGCTATAAACATGAAGCTATTCACTTGACAGGCAAAGAGGCTATAAACATGACGCTATCCAGCTGACAGGCAAACAGGCTACAAACATGACGCTATTCACCATTTTGGTTATGGTAATTAGCAGTTGTATCAAAAAAAGGAATCGTATTAAACGGACCGTGATTACATGACGCTCTGAAGTCGGAGGAAGGGGGACGAACTTTTAGCAGTTTCTATTTGTTCCTAAATACGTTTTAATGCGTTTCCACTTTTAATCAACGGCTAATAACCATAACAGTATGGCGTTGCGACCAGTGACTGACGCTAAATGTTTTATATTTAACACGTCTGTATTTGCACGAGAAAACGATTCGTTGTAATGTTCCATATAAACGAATCTAGATTGTTCCTCAAAGACATTTGTGTGCATGCATGCCTATATTTCAGGGCTGACAGGCAAAGAGGCTACAAAGATCACGCTATTCACCTGACAGGAAAACAGGCTACAAACAAGACGCTATTCACTTGACAGGCAAAGAGGCTACAAACATGACGCTATCCAGCTGACAGGCAAAGAGGCTACAAACATGACGCTATCCACTTGACAGGCAAACAGGCTACAAACATGACGCTATTCAGCTGACAGGCAAACAGGCTACAAACATGACGCTATCCTACTGACAGGCAAACAGGATACAAACATGAAGCTATTCACTTGACAGGCAAAGAGGCTACAAACATGACGCTATCCAGCTGACAGGCAAACAGGCTATAAACATGACGCTATCCAACTGACAGGCAAACAGGCTACAAACATGACGCTATTCAGCTGACAGGCAAAGAGGCTACAAACATGAAGCTATTCACCTGACAGGCAAAGAGGCTACAAACATGACGATATTCACCTGACAGGCAAACAGGCTACAAACATGACGCTATCCAGCTGACAGGCAAAGAGGCTACAAACATGACGATATTCACTTGACAGGCAAACAGGCTACAAACATGAAGCTATTCACTTGACAGGCAAAGAGGCTACAAACAAGACGATATTCACTTGACAGGCAAACAGGCTACTAACATGACGCTCTTCACCTGACAGGCAAAGAGGCTATAAACATGACGCTATTCACCTGACAGGCAAAGAGGCTATAAACATAACGCTATCCAGCTGACAGGCAAAGAGGCTATAAACATGACGATATTCACCTGACAGGCAAAGAGGCTATAAACATGACGCTATTCACCTGACAGGCAAAGAGGCTATAAACATGACGCTATTCACCTGACAGGCAAACATGCTACAAACATGACGCTATCCAGTTGACAGGAAAACAGGCTACAAACATGACACTATTCACTTGACAGGCAAAGAGGCTATAAACATGACGCTATCCAGCTGACGGGCAAAGAGGCTACAAACATGACGCTATTCACTTGGCATGTAGTCTGTCATACAGACCCTGAAGCAAATATATCCAAGAAGCCCACGCAAATCTAGAAAATGTGGCAAGTCTAGAAGTCTCTGGGCTCCTTTTTATTGTATTTATGACTTTAATGTAAAAACTTTTATTTTCTGTAAAATATGTTCATTTCAGAGACTTTCTGTTAGTCTACTTGGCATGCAAAGAGGCGACTCCATGGAACTATACGCTTCACGTACTCTACGAATACCCAGGGACAAAAATTGGTTTTTATTTGAAAATATTAATGAATGACCGAACAATGTGCGTCAAACTCAAATGACCAAGACAATGTCCGGCGTTATACCATCCTACATCACGTATGGATCAGCACCCGGGTATTCCGTGACGCTCCAAGAATATCAACAATCTCTGTACACACATCTTGAAGACCTTAAAGATGTTTACTAGAATAGAGTTTCTGGCCGTCAATTTGAGAAATACGGTGCCCGTTAAACGCTAGTTTGTTTAGTTTGTTTGTTGTTTAATTAAAGATCCACTGAGCAATAGTCCAGCTATATGACGGCGATCGGTATAAAATTTATTATCGAGTGTGGACTAGACAATCCAGTGATTGCCATCATGAGCATCCTTCTACGCAGTTGGGACACGATGCCTGTACAAACGATAGATTATATGTAATTAAGCATACAACACAACACACACCTGACAGTATCGTCAGAATAGAGTGATTGCTTGGGCTTTATAACAGTATCCTAGTTATAACAAGGTGTCACCTTCATGTCAGTGAGTGGAGTGAGTGAGTGAGTGAGTTTAGTTTTATCCAACACTCAGCATATTTCAGCTATATGGCGGCGGTCTGTAAACAATCGAGTTTGGACCAGACAATCTAAGGATCAACAGCGTGAACATCGATCTACGCAGTTAGGATACAATGACACGTGTCAACCAAGTCAGCGAGTCTGACCGCCCGTTAGTCGCCTCTTACGACAAGCATGGGTTAATGAAGATCAATTCTAGCCCGGATCTTCACGGGTTTATGTGGATTTCTTAGACATTTACAACTTGAGCACGGGAATTGTTCTGACAAACCAAGAATAATAATTTACATCCCAACCTTCCAACATCAGAATGGAACAACCAAGTGAGCAGCCTTCGTCTCACAGCGCGTCATGTTACAAACGTTCGGTTTACCTATTTCATCAAATGAGACAAAAAACATTACCTCTGAATACATTTTGAAATTCGAAATTGATTGCATTTACAACGCTACTCTATAGTTCATGAACTATGAAATTACAACATGCCATTCTAAAAGGCTTGTAACCGCCTGTAACCGAATCCTGTGTTTACTGTCATGGCTCTCTGATACAGATAAAATACATATACAAGATGTTGTAAACATCCAACTCTTCCATTGTAATTAGCATTATTATTTAATTCAGAAATTGACCAACAGATTTTTTGGGCACATATATTTTTAACTCTAGCTGAACTTCTATTTTATGGACCCGTGAAGGTCCGGGTTAGAATGAATGTTCAGAAACCCATGTTTGTCGTAAAAGGCGACTGATCGACTGGTCAGGCTCGCTGGCTTGGTTGACACACGTCATAGTATCGCAGTTGCGTAGATCGATGTTCATGATGTTGATCACTGGATTGTCTGATCCAGACTCGATTATTTACAGACCGCCGTCATATAGCTGGAATATTGCTGTGTGCGGCGTAAAACTAAACTCACTCAGTCACTCTATTTTATGATACTTCAGACCTACTGAAGGTGGTTGGTAATACGCCCGTTAACGATACGATCCAAATGGTTTGAGATAGGTGATGCGGCTATAAAATCGTTCTTCAGACGCACAGCAGCTCTTCAGAGAAGCATCGCTACTTTAACTTAGAGTAAAAGAGTGAATTTCAACGATGTTTCCAGCATCAACAGGCTTTCGTGTTTATGCAATCATTATGTCTATCGATTCACGAGGTTGAAATGTTTTTCACGAGGATGAATATCAACTCATCAGCAATTGCATTTGCGCGACTGTTCTATGATCATCAACACAAAACTGTTTCGATTAACATGGCGTTGGAGATCGTTGTGGACATACATCCTGGCGACATGAAAATTTAAGGTTTTCCAGTCTGGTAAAAAACGTATAGCAAGGCCGTTGATAGCACATTAATCTACGAGTGAGTGAGAGTATGGTTTTACGCCGCTTTTACCAATATTTCAGCTATATCGAAGCGGGGATCACCAGAAATGGGCTTCACACATTGTACCCATGTTGGGAATCGAACCCGGGTCTTCGGCGTGACGAGGGAACGGTTTAAACACTAGGCTACCCCATCTCTGAGGCTGTGAACACGTATTGCATGTAGTGATGTAGTTCATTAAGCCACGGAGACAGACTGCAGCATTATGAATCTGCCTACAGCAGTCACACAGTAATACATGCAACATTGTCATACAAACCACCAACCAGATCAATACTGTTATATGAAGCTATGGAGGCAGGAGAACAAAAACACACAACTTGCATCAACCATGGTTGATGTATCGCTTGTGAAGGTAGCCACCGTACCTAGGCTGATGATGATGAAGATGACGATCCTTAACGCATAGGCACGTGCTCGCACAGTGGTGGTTAGGATGGAGAGCTTTAAGATCTAGACCGTCATACTGGTGGTTAGGATGGAGAGCTATAAGATCTGGACCATCATACTGGTGGCTAGGTGGTTAGGATGGAGGTCTATAAGATCTAGACCGTCATACTGGTGCTTAGGTGGAGAGCTACAAGATCTAGACCATCATACTGGAGGTTAGGATGGAGAGCTATAAGATCTAGACCATCATACTGGTGGTTAGGATGGAGAGCTACAAGATCTAGACCATCATACTGGTGCTTAGGTGGTTAGGATGGAGAGCTACAAGATCTAGACCATCATACTGGAGGTTAGGATGGAGAGCTAAAAGATCTAGACCATCATACTGGTGGTTAGGTGGAGAGCTACACGATCTAGACCATTACACTGGTGGTTAGGATGGAGAGCTACAAGATCTAGACCATCATACTGGAGGTTAGGATGGAGAGCTATAAGATCTAGACCATCATACTGGTGGTTAGGTGGTTAGGATGGAGACTTACAAGATCTAGACCATCATACTGGTGCTTATGTGGTTAGGATAGAGAGCTACAAGATCTAGACCATCATACTGGTGCTTAGGATGGAGAGCTACAAGATCTAGACCATCATACTGGAGGTTAGGATGGAGAGCTAAAAGATCTAGGCCATCATACTAGTGGTTAGGATGGAGAGCTATAAGATCTAGACCATCATACTGGAGGTTAGGATGGAGAGCTATAAGATCTAGACCATCATACTGGAGGTTAGGATGGAGAGCTATAAGATCTAGACCATCATACTGGTGGTTAGGATGGAGAGCTAAAAGATCTAGACCATCATACTGGTTCTTAGGATGGAGAGCTATAAGATCTAGACCATCATACTGGTGGTTAGGATGGAGAGCTATAAGATCTGGACCATCATACTGGTGGTTAGGATGGAGGTCTATAAGATCTAGACCGTCATACCGGAGGTTTGGATGGAGAGCTATAAGATCTAGACCATCATACTGGTGCTTATGATGGAGAGCTATAAGATCTAGACCTTCATACTGGTGGTTATGATGGAGAGCTATAAGATCTAGACCATCATACTGGAGGTTAGGATGGAGAGCGATAAGATCTAGACCATCACACTGGTGGTTATGATGGAGAGCTATAAGATCTAGACCATCATACTGTTGGTTAGGATGGAGATAGTGTCTATGGCAACCATAGTATGTGTTGCAGTCATAGTGTGCGTAGCTGTCATTGTGTGTGTAGCAGTCGTAGTGTGTGTAGCAGTTACAGTGTGTGTGGCAGTCATAGTGTGTATAGCAGTCATCTAGTGCGTGTGGTAGTCATTGTGTGTGTAGCAGTCGTAGTGTGTGTAGCTGTCATTGTGTGTAACAGGCATAGTGTGCGTAGAAGTTACAGTGTGTGTGACAGTCATAGTGTGTATAGCAGTCATCTAGTGTGTGTAGCAGTCGTAGTATGTGTAGCAGTCATAGTGTGTGTAGAAGTCACAGTGTGTGTGACAGTCATAGTGTGTATAGCAGTCATCTACTGTGTGCAGCTATCACAGTGTGTGTAACAGTCATCTAGTGTGTGTGGTATTCATTGTGTGTGTAGCAGTCGTAGTGTGTGTAGCAGTTACAGTGTGTGTAACTGTCACAGTGTGGTTGCAGTCATAGTGTGTGTAACAGTCACACTGTGTGTAGCAGTCATAGTGTGTGTAGCAGTCGTTATGTGTGTAGCTGTCACAGTGTGTAGCCGTCATTGTGTGTGTGGCTGTCACAGTGTGTGTAGCAGTCATTGTGTGTAGCTGTCATAGTGTGTGTACCAGTCACACTGTGTGTAGCAGTCATAGTGTGTGTACCTGTCATAGTGTGTTTAGCAGTCATAGTGTTTTGCAGTCATAGTGTGTGTAGCAGTCATAGTGTGTGTAGCAGTCATTGTGTGTGTAGCTGTCATAGTGTGTGTAGCAGTCATAGTGTGTGTAGGAGTCACAGTGTGTGTAGCAGTCATAGTGTGTTTAGAAGTCATAGTGTGTGTAGCAGTCATATTCTGTGTAGCAGTCATAATGTATGTAGCTGTGGTATTGTTTGTAGCTGTGATAGTGTGTGTCAGTCACAGTCCGTGTGTGTAGCAGTTAAAGGTACATGTACCTGTTTTGGTTTCCCCGTAGCTTTGGGTAACCAATAGTTGCACGTTCAGATTGGCCTATGAATTCCTTCCTAATCAACAGAATTGACAATAACGTGACGTCATCATACTGGTTAGGTTTATATAACCGACGTTTCATAGTCCTGTAGTTGTGTAGTCAAGTATATGCACGCTTCACATTTCTCTTCAGTTCCATGTGCTATCGTGAATTCCCAAACAAGGACCGCTCCCTGACCGAAGCCGCATGTATTTCTGTACCTATGATTGTGGATTTTACAGCATACTCAATTTCGGATCGCTGAGACGGTCACAGCTGTCGGGAGGTCTACGAGGACCGAGCAGCCAACATGAGTGAGTATTTCTGTATTCTGTCTACATTCTGACAGTCAGCGACTCTGGACTGTATGTGCCGGAGTACAGTTAGATCACTAGCATGCTTGTTTACCGTTAGGGTTAAGGCACTGAAGACACGGGTATGTGGCATCAGTTCCGGGTGCAGAGTTGTGCAGGGTATTTTAGAACCATGGGATTAGTTGGAGTAATTAAGGAGGTCGGTATTTTTTGTAGTTCAGAGGTTTGTTTAGGTTGTGGCCAGACCCAGACAAGATCGATCGATATTGGCAGATATATTACGTCACTCCAAAATTGAACCGAGAGAACACCCCCTTGTAGCACTTTGCAAAACGTGAGTACTTTTTGAGTCTGTGACCCATTTTAGGGCCCTTAATACCAGGCTTCGCACGTAGGTCATACAATATACACAGCGTGTTGTGAAGGTTGAATACCAATGGCAGCTCCACTGCCTTGAATCACAGCTATGGGGGTACGTTTGGAGTGAGACTGTAATGTTTCGCTCAAGACAATCTGGGACATAGCGTCTCACGTATATAAACTCTCGCCAAGCAGGTAGTATCCACGGTTGTTATACTCCAACAATATCACACTTCATTTATGTTTACGCTTCAGCAATACAACATTAATGCAGCTGTATATACCCACAGCAAAGTTGTATGTTGTTAGCCAAACTGAACTATTTTGTCTACAACCAACTTTGCGTGCATCCATCATGCCATAATGATTCACAGCATCACAATAACCATCCGAAGATCATCGTCATTTCAACCTCCTCTTGTAAACAACACATCATACTCAGCTGCGCTTCACACTCAGAAAACAGCGATCCCCACCACCCCACCCTTGTTAACAACAACCTTCACCCACCAACCCTGACCACTCTCTGTAAACACCCATCCCTACCACCCCACCCATGTTAACAACACCCTTCACCCACCGACCCTGACCATCTTCTGTGGACACCCATCCCTACCACCCCACTCTTGCTAACAACACCCTTCACCCACCCACCCTGACCATCCTCTGTTGACACCCATCCCTACCACCCCACCCTTGTTAACAACAACCTTCACCCACCAACCCTGACCATCCTCTGTTGACACCCATCCCTACCACCCCACCCTTGTTAACAACAACCTTCACCCACCAACCCTGACCATCCTCTGTTGGACACCCATCCCTACCACCCCCAACCTTGTTAACAACAACCTTCACCACCCTGACCAACACCCTTGACACCCACCCACCCAACCTGACCATCCTACTACCCTCTGTGGACACCCATCTCCTACCACCCCACTACCCTTGTTAACAACAACCTTCACCCACCAACCCTGACCATTCTCTGTGAACACCCATTCCTCCTTGCTAACAACAACCTTCACCCACCAACCCTGACCTACCCATTCCTACTACCCTTGTTAACAACAACCTTCACCCACCAACCCTGACCATTCTCTGTGAACACCCATTCCTACTACCCTTGCTAACAACAACCTTCACCCACCAACCCTGACCATTCTCTGTGAACACCCATTCCTACTACCCTTGCTAACAACAACCTTCACCCACCAACCCTGACCACTCTCTGTATAAACAACCATCCCCACCATCCCACCCTTGTTAGCGACAACCTTCACCCACCAACCCGGACTGCTCTCTGTAAACACCACTCCCCACCACCCTTGTTGACAACACCCTTCACCCATCAACCTTGATCACTCTCTGTTGACACCCATCCCTACGACCCCACCCTTGCTAACAACACCCCTTCACGCACCAAGCTCTGTTGACATCCTCTGTGGACACCCATCCCTACCACCCCACCCTTGGTAACAACACCCTTCACCCACCAACCCTGACCATCCTCTGTGGACACCCATCCCTACCACCCCACCCTTGTTAACAACACCCTTCACCCACCAACCCTGACCATCCTCTGTGAACACCCATCCCTACCACCCCACCCTTGTTAACAACAACCTTTACCTACCCACCCTGACCATTCTCTGTATAAACAACCATCCCTACCACCCCCACCCTTGGTAACAACAACCCTTCACCCACCCACCCTGACCATCCTCTGTTGACACCATCCCTACCACCCCACCCTTGCTAGCAACACCTCCTCACTGTAGCAACACCCATCCCTACCTGACCCCTCTGTGGACACCATCCTACCACCCCACCCTTGGTAACAGCACCCTTCACCCACCAACCCCTGACCATCCCCTCTGTTGACACCCATCCCTACCACACCCCACCCTTGTTAACAACACCCTTCACCACCCCTTCACCCACCCCACCCTTGTTAACAACACTTCTTCACCCATCCACCCTGACCATCCTCTGTGCCCTTCACCCACCCATCCCTGACCATCCTCTGTTGACACCCATCCCTACCACCCCACCCTTGCTAACAGCACCCTTCACCCACCCACCCTGACCATCCTCTGTTGACACCCATCCCTACCACCCCACCCCTTGGTAACAGCACCCTTCACCCACCCACCCTGACCATCCTCTGTGGACACCCATCCCTACCACCCCACCGTGGGACCCTTCACCAACCCACTCCTGACCATCCTCCGTGGACGCCCCCACCCCACCTTTGTTAACAACACCTTCACCCACCAACCCTGACCACCCTCTGTTGATGCCCATCCCTACCACCCCACCCTTGTTAACAACACCCTTCACCCACCAACCCTGACCACCCTCTGTTGACACCCATCCCTACCACCCCACCCTTGTTATCAACACCCTTCACCCACCCACCCTGACCATCCTCTGTGGACACCCATCCCTACCACCCCACCCTTGCTAACAGCACCCTTCACCCACCCACCCTGACCATCATCTGTTGACACCCATCCCTACCACCCCACCCTTTGGTAACAGCACCCTTCACCCACCCACCCTGACCATCCTCTGTTGACACCCATCCCTACCACCCCACCCTTGGTAACAACACCCTTCACCCACCCACCCTGACCATCCTCTGTGGACACCCATCCCTACCACCCCACCCTTGGTAACAGCACCCTTCACCCACCCACCCTGACCATCCTCTGTGGACACCCATCCCTACCACCCCACCCTTGCTAGCAACACCCTTCACCCTCCAACCCTTACCATCCTCTGTGGACACCCATCCCTACCACCCCACCCTTGGTAACAGCACCCTTCACCCACCCACCCTGACCATCCTCTGTGGACACCCATCCCTACCACCCCACCCTTGTTAACAACACCCTTCACCGGAGGTACAGATAAGCTGCGTATAGATCTGCGTAAATTACGCATATATTTATGTGAAAACCGAATTCCTATTATGTCTGTTGCGTACAAGTACGCTTGAATTTTTGTAAATGCTCAATATATTTGATCTTACATGCGTACACACAAAACTGTCAAATCTTAGCTTGGGTGTTACTGAGGATAGATAAAATAACTGAGGTATATTGAGAGGTTCTTTTTCAGCACATGTACTTGGCAACTTGCAGTCTTTCTTATGGTTTTTCATATTACAGAGCAAATAACACGTAGGCACGTAAACCAACATTTAAACTTTATTACATTTTTACAATTAATAGAAAACAGCAAAATCCCCAAATGAGTTTGAGTCTGGTGGGTACAATTTATTTGGTTGCTCAAAGGCAAATTAGGATACCCAATTGAAATGAACACAAGCGAGTACATCACTCAATGACTTAAAAAGTTATCTGTAGCTCTGTCAATGTACGTGAAGCATGATATAGTCAGATATAGCCTGGCATAATCAGATATAAATCCGATTTCTCCATACATTCTTGCCATTCCTTGTCTCCTAGATATGCTATTTTTTGTTACAGTCCGTTTGAGACAAAATGATACCGATGAATTGCAATCTAACACAAAAACAAATAGACATAAAAGAATCAAACCAACGCGGACTGCAAAAAACCGTTTAACAGACCAACTCTAGAAAAAAATTGCATAATTTGTGTCACAAAATAAAAAAGTTGTTTCAGAAACTGTCATCATTTATTTGTGCGTTTTCCTAGTTTGTTACAAAGGCGCATTGGCACCTAAAGGAACAGCGCGAAAAGCGAGATGCACGTGCGTTAACGGGTTCTCAACAAACTTTTGAGCTGGAGAGATGACACGTACCCCAGCTGCACAGGCAGTGCGCTGTATGTACTTAGTAATTGCATACTAGGGTCACCCCCGGTCATTTTCATCCTTGAAAAAATCATAGACTTTGTAAATTATAGACTTTCATTTTCTCTCACTTTGTCAATCCGCAGTAATCACATGTGTCTGACGTCACTAATGCACGTGCATCTCACTTGCCGTTCATTTCTGAGTGTCACGAACTGATAACATTTTGATGCAATCAGGAGAAACATGTCTGTCTGTCTGTCTGTCTGTAAATATCTTTACCCAATCATATGGACCTGTCTAGGTCAAAATAAAAATTGATGCGGCAACTGCTGTTCCACGCTATAACTACCACATAGCTTCAAACCCATTAGTTATACATACACATGCATGCACTCATAAAAGCGCACACACATACGCGCGCGCACGCACGCGCACGCACACACACACATACCCATACACACACATGCAAACGTACGGTACTGCCATTCAGTCAGATGACAGGGGTTGACGGTAGGTAGTGATTCGGTCAGATGCGGACAGTGACAGATTCCGAAAATAGCTTGTGTTTTGTCCTCTCTGATTATACTCTATTAGCTAAACAACGCGTGCCATTGTATCAGTAACCTTAGGATGATGTATATATGTAGGTCATCGGAGTCAGTAGTAGAAAGGTAATCGACCAGGCTACAGTCTGTTTCAAACAACATCCATGGAGTCTGGACAATCGCATTGTGTGTGTAGCTGTCACAGTGTGTGTAGCTGTCATAGTGTTTGTACCTGTCACAGTGTGTGTAGCTGTCACAGTGTGTGTAGCTGTCACAGTGTGTGTAGCAGTCATAGTGTTTGTACCT